CAGTCAAGTCATAGCTAGAGTAGTCTGTTTTGCTGGTTCATGTCAGCTAGCTACATCAAAGTTGTCCTGAGCAGTTTGTGGTCCAAAGATGATCTTTAGGTGATGTTTTTCAGCTTAGTGGTATTATCATAGTCCTAACAGAATTGTCATTGTGGGTCCCTATCATCCTTTTGTAGACTTCAAAGGTCACTGTTACGTGTGTTCTGTGGTCGTGGTTCACTCCAGAAAACATTTTAAATGTCATATGCAGCACATTTCAAAGAGGTTAAAGGATCAGTATTTGTTAGGTACATCTAGAGTACAAAAACTTAGTTCCTAGTTACCTAATAGAGACCCGAACCCAAAATCATGTACAAGAAACTACATGATGAAGCCTTTTTCTAGAATTAATTAGTACTTTATGTGACCATTAATATGAAAATTAAAAATATGAATATATTAAATTTTGAGACAATGATTATACCTTAAGAAAAGCTTCCAAGACTCAAAATAGGACCAAAGGATCATGAGATTAGTGGCAGTAAAATAGTTTTGTAATTTTTGTTTCACTTCATATTAGGTAGCTGTTCTGACAGGAGACAGATTTTAGATTTTACTTTAACAAACATTCTTGGGTTTAGAGGAGGAGAGAGCCACATTGTAACTCCAAAGCTAGCTTCAATTTTTAATTGGACTGGGACTATAAAAAGACCATTTGCATTATATGTTGGTAGAGAAAAGCAGAAACAAATATTTGGGAAGATTTATGAAAATTCTGTCCTGTTGGAAATATGTTATACTAATAAGCCAAATTACTCTTTTTCTTGGGACTTTTTTTTTTTTTTTTTTTTTTCCTGGATGATTTGTCCTTTTTCTCATTCCTTATTTATTCAGTGATCTTCAGAGTCCTTAGCAAGATGCCTTCAATCTCCTGAAAAGACAAAATCAAAACCCTTCCCCAAACCTAATTTTGGGGGAGATTCCCTTATGGCAAGTTATAACTGATCAAATAACAAGCATTTGTTAGTTTTAAAATAACTTTAGATTGAATGGCCATGCTGTTTGATTAACTATCATCACCTCCTAACCAGGAGGTCTCTCCTGTTCAAGTCTAATCTTTATCAATCTTGATGGTATCTATAGTGTTTCTTCTGTGGAAACAAGGAAAACCTCTTTCCCAATGTAACACATATTATGGTTTCTATTCTGAGGTCAGTACATCTTTTTTTTTTTTTTTTAAAGATTTTATTTATTTATTATTCATACAACATTCTGCTTCCATGTATATCTATCTGCACCAGATCTCATAATGGATGGTTGTGAGCCACCATTTGGTTGCTGGGAATTGAACTCAGGACCCCTGGAAGAGCAGTCAGTGCTCTTAACCTCTGAGCCATCTCTCCAACGAGGTCAGTACATCTTAAAATATATAGGCTGATTTAATTCAGGTTTTTCTGTTATCCATTGCCTCTCCACAGCCATTGTTCTTGTGGTGGCACTTGCCTTTAATCCCAGCATTCCGGAGGCAGAGGCAGGCGGATCTTTGTGAGTTTGAGGCCATCTGGTCTACAGAATGAATTCCAGGACAGCCAGGGCTACACAGAAAAACCCTGTCTCGACAAACAAAAAGCAAAAGTCACCAAAGCACTGTGTAATCTATCTCTGGGAATCTTTGTCCCCGTTTTTTGCTTATTAAGCTTACCTGATTTTGTTTTTTTGAGACAGGGTTTCTCTGTATCTTTGGAGCCTGTCTTCTAACTTTCTTTGTAGACTAAGCTGGCCTTGAAGTCACAGAGATTCACCTGTCTCTGCCTCCGGAATGCTGGGATTAAAGAGGTGCACCACCATTGTCCAGGAAAATATATCTTTTAAAGTGTGATTAGATCTTTCTATAACTACTTGCCTCGTAGGATTGTGTGATATACCTGTAATATTCGAAAAATTGTTTCATTTTACTAGAGACATATGCAGGAACATTGCCATGCGTAATTTATACAGGTATCCCCATAATGGCCATGACTTCTAATAATTGTGTAATTATGGAATCAGCCTTTTCAAAACTTAAAGCAGTTACCCATTAAATTCTGAATATGTTTCTATGATATGATGCACATATTTTTAATTTTCCAAACTCTTACAAATGAAACTCTGTTTGCAAAATTTTATTTCTTTGAGTACCTTTTGGGTTATGTCCTGTAGGTCATGGAGTTTGATTATACAAAGGACAAGTAGGACATTTCCTTATTTCTTTGTCTTCTTGCCAAGTAATAGAAAAATATTCCTTCAACCATTTGCATTTGAAGAAAATGTAAAATGATGGTGTTTCTTACGAAATTCGGAGGCTTCTAGCACATTTCCTAACAATAATTGATCAATTTCATCATTACCTTGTGCTAGAGGGCCTGGTAGACCTGTCTGATAAGTGTTATATACAAAGGATGACTTCTCTTTCTGATTACTGATTACTGTTGTAGATGAATAAATAACAGTTAATTCTGAATCATCTGAAAAAGTTTAGCAGTTTCAATATGTAAGATAAATCTTAATACATATTGAGAGTCAGTAACTATATAAAGAGGTTCTGAAAATCTAATAGTGCCACGAGAATAGCATATAATTGTGATTTCTGAACTGGATCATAAGAGTTTTAAGTCACTTTACTTAATTTTCCTGACTTACAGCCTTTTCTGATTTATTTGCATCAGTGTAGAATGTAGGGGCTCCAGAAATTGTTGTTACCATTGTCATATGAGGGAAAATCCAATTCTTTTTATAAACAGGTCTCTTGCTTTTGGGATATTTGTTGCTAATATCTCCCTAGAAATTACTGTTTATTTTCTGTCCATAATGAGGCGATTTCAGCATTGGTAGAAGGTACCACAATTTCTGCTGGGTCTATTCCAGCTATTTGACCAAGTCTCAGTTTTCCTTTCAGAATCAATTCAGAAACCTTCTGTACATAGGTCTTTAATTTTTTTACTCTGTGTAGTAAAAACATCCATTCTAAGATATCACCTCTTGATGGGTGTTGGTGGTGCATGCCTTTAATCCCAGCACCCAAGAGGCAGAGGCAGGCGGATCTCTGTGAGTTCAAGGCCAGCCTGGTCTACAGAGCGAGTGCCAGGATAATGCTCCAAAGCTAAATAGAAAAATCCTGTCTCGAAAAAAAAAAAATCTCTCTGCATAAGAATTCCTGTAGGAGAATGAGTAGAAGGTTAAATAAACAGAATATAATCAAGCTTTGGATCTAAGTTATCCACACACACAGCTTGTAATTTCTTTTCTACCAGAGCAATTCTTTCCCATCCTCAACTGGTAGTTTTCTTGGTCTATATAAGTCCTTATCTCCTTTAAGATTTCAAGTAAATTACTTAGGCTTTTGAGTTGTGTGCCATAGCCAGTTAATATCTCCCAGCAATTTTTGAAAATCATTAAGAGTTTGTAATTGATTGTCTCTTATTGGTACTTTCTGTGGTTGAATTTTCTGTAAACCTATCATATATTTGAGGGCTTTTTGTTTTGTTTTGTTTTTGCTTTTTGTTTTTGTTTTCAGGAGCAATTTGTAATCCCCAACAAGGCAAAATTCTCTTCATCAAACATTTTTTCTAAAATATCTGTGTCTGAATCATCCAATAAGATATCATCCATAAAATGGTAAATTTTAGATTGGAGAAACTATGAATTAGTTCTAATGACTGTTGTAATAAATATTGAAATAACATGGGGCTGTTTCATTGTGGAATAACCTTCCAGTGGTAGCATTTAACTGGCTGGGGATTATTATAAATAGGCACTGTGAAGGCAAATTTTTTTTATGCTTTTCTTGTAAAGGTATAGTAAAAAACCAAAAAAACAAAAAAAACAATCTTTTAGATCAGTCAGTAAAGACAGTCAATACAGATGGCAAGGGAATTCCCAGCTGTAAAGAGCCCATTGACTCAATCACCTTATTTCTGGCTCTTAAATTTGTTAACATTCTCCATTTTCCAGATTTCTTTATAATAACAAATACAGGAGGAATTCAAGGACTGGTTGATTCTTCAATATGTTGAGCATTTAGATGCTCCTGTGCCCGCTGTTCTTAATGCTTGTAATTTCTCTGATGTCAAAGGTCATTGTATTACCCACAGAGGTTTGTCAATTAACCATTTGAAAGGTAGGGCTGTTGGTACCTTTGAAAGATCAGCAGCTGTTATGCCCTGCTTATGTACATCCTGAACAGTCGGTGACTGTTATTGATAATCCCTTTTAATATGTTTCTCAGAAGCATATGTTTATGGTTTGTTTCAGACCTTGGATGAATGTTAATCTCTGCTTTCTATTGCTGTAACATCATGTCTCCCCAAAACCATTGCTATGTTGACCATATGTGGTTTTTACTTTCCTTACTGTTTTCTGGCCCTATACACTCAACCCATCTTGTACTTTTTTTTATGTGAGATAAAGCTCCAATCTCTGGACGATGAAAAGGGCAAACTGGATGCTAAGATTTTGGTGAAATGATAGTTACATTTGCCTTGTGTCTACCAAACCCTTAATTTTAATGGCATTTATTTGTATTTTTAGCTTTGGTCTTTGATCATTTTTAGAAGTTTGCCAAAATACTTGTTGGATGGTCTCTCATGAAATTTTTTTTTATCTACTGAAGCTGTTATTTCATCAAGAGCAGTATGGTTTTTAATAACAGGCATTAAATCCAATATGGGCAAAAGGGTCTCAAGAGCAGACAGAGTCAGAAACATCCCCACTCCCACTATTAGGCTTCCCACAAAAATATCAAGCTAACAACTATAACATATATGTAGAATATCTATCTAGCACAGACTTTTGGTTGCCATATCAGTTTCTGTGGGCCATTATGAGCCCTACTTAGGTTGAAGTCTGTGGGCCATGTACTCCTGGCTCCTACATTTCTTCCTCTCCCTCTTCCACAGGGTTCTCTGAGCTCCAAGGGGAGGGACCTGATGGAGATCTTCAATTTGGGCTCTCCTAATGTTTGGCTGTGGTCTCTTCATCTGCTTCCATCAGCTGCCAGAGGTAGTCTTTTTAATGATGATTGGGATAGACACCAATATATGAATGTTTAAGAATTCTATTGAATTCTTCCCCTCCCCCATCATAGGTCCCTGGGCTGTACAGCCTCCCCTTCCTGGTCATCCTGTCAGTGTTGGGCATGGGCTCCTCTCTTGTGGTATGGGCAGTTAGACTAGTTATTGCTTGGTCACTCCCCAAAGTTCTGTGTACCCATTTTCCTAATATATCTTGTAGATAGGATAGATATGGGTTGAAGATTTTGTGGCTGGCTTGGAGTCTTGTTTCTACCTTGCCTGGTTACAGACGATGGCCAATTGAGGTTTCCATATCAGTCCACCACAACCCCTGCCAGATACATTTCCAATGCACTTGTGTCTCCTTCCCACCCCCACCCCTCTTGTTCCCAGTCTTCCCACAAAAATCTATCACCCCCCCCCCCAGGGAGATTCATGCATCCCTCTTAGAGCCCTCCTTGTTAGCATTTCTGGGTCTGTGTATTGTAGCATGATTATCATTGACTTAACAGCTAATATCCTCTTATAAGTGAGTACATACCATGTTTTTCTTTTTGGGTTTGGGTTACCCACTCATGATTTTTCTTTTCTTTTCTTTTCTTTTGGTTTTTCGAGACAGGGTTTCTCTGTTTAGATTTGGAGCCTATCCTGGCACTCACTCAATAAATAAATAAATAAATAAATAAATAAATAAATAAATAAATAAATAAATAAATAAATAAATAAATAAATAAATAAATAAATAAATAAATAAATAAATAAATAAATAAATAAATAAATAAATAAATAAATAAATAAATAAATAAATAAATAAATAAATAAATAAATAAATAAATAAATAAATAAATAAATAAATAAATAAATAAATAAAGAAGAAAATAAAGAAGAAAATAAAGAAGAAAATTGAACAGAGCTGCTAAGGACTTGTCTTTGTGATAGGGTAGAGCATCCTTTGGTTATCTGCCCAAGAGTGGTGTAGTTGGGTCTTGAGGTAGATGATTCTTAATTTTCTGAGAAACTTCCATATTGGTATTTACACGGTGGTTGTATGAGTTTGTACTTCTACCAGCAATGGAGGAGTGTTTTTCTTGTTGCACATCTTTGCCAGCATGAGCTATTCACTTGTGTTATTGATCCTTGCCATTCTGATGAGTTTAAGAAAGAATCTCAGAGTAGTTTTGATTTGTATTTCCCTGCTTGCTATGGATGTTGAACATGTTCTTCAGCCATTTTGTCTTCCTTTATTGAGAATTCTCTGTTTAGATTTATTCCTCATTAAACAAATTATTTTTATTTTATTTTATTTTTTTATTTTTTTGGTGTTTTGCCTGCATATATGTTTGTGTAAAAATGTGTGATCCTCTGGAACTGGAGCTACAGACAGTTTTGAGCTGCCATGTGGGTACTTGGAATAGAATTGGGGTCCTCTGGAAGAGCAGCCTGTACTCTTGAACTGTTGTACCATCTCTACAGCCCCAGGACCCATTTAAAGAAATGGATTATTTGTTTTCTTGATATCTAGTTTCTTTATGTATTTTGGGTATTAGCCCTCTGATGTGGAGTTTATGAAAATCTTTTTCCATTCTGTAGGCTACTGTTTTGTTCTATTGACGGTGTTCTTTACCTTAAAGAAGCGTTTCATTTTCATGATGTCCCATTTATTGATTGTTGATCTTAGTGCTTATTCTATCAGTGTTCTGTTCAGTAAGTTGTCTCCTGTGCATTCAAGGCTATTCCCTACATTCTCTTTTATCAGGTTCTATGTATCTGGCTTTATGTTGGGGTCTTTGATCCACTTAGATGTAAGTTTTATCCAGGGTATCAGATATGGATCTATTTGCATTCTTCTACATGGAGATATCCATTTTGACCAGCACTATTTGTTGAAGATGCTTTTCTTTTTTCCATTGTTTATTATTGCTCCTTTATCTAAAATCAGGTGTCCATTGGTTCATGTCTGGGTCTCTGAATCAATTCCATTGATCCAAGTGTCTTTATGCCAATACAATGCCATTTCTATTATTATAGTTTTGTAGTACAGCTTGAATTCAAGGATGGTGATACCTCCAGAAATTCTTTTATTGTACAGATTGTTTTAGCCATTCTGGGTTTTTTGTTTTTTCCATATGAAGTTTAGTATTATGTTTTCAAGGTCTATAAATAATTGTCCTGGGACTTTGATGAGGATTGCCTTGAATCTGTAGATTGCTTTTGGTAGAATGGCTGTTTTTACTATGTTGATCCTACTGACCCATGAGTATGGGAGATCTTTCTATCTTCTTATGTCTTCTATTTCTTCAAAGACTTAAAGTTTTTAATCTTACAAATCTTTTGCTTGCTTGGTTAGAGTATTTATATTTATATTTATATTATATTTATATTTTATATTGTGGCTATTGTTAAGGGTGTTTCCCTAATTTCTTTCTCAGACCATTTGTCATTTGTATTTAGGAAAGCTACTGTTTTTTTTTTTTTTTTTTTTTTTTTTTTTTTTTTTTTTTTTTCAGTTAGTCTTGTATCCAGCGACTTTGCTGAAGGTGGCTATCAGCTGTAGTCCCTCATAGAATTTTTTTGGGTTGCTTATGTGTACTATCATATCTTTTGTAAATAGCAGTATTTTGACTTCTTTCCAATTTGTGTCTTCTTGATCTCCTTTAATTATCTTTGTGCTCTACCTAGAACTTCAAGTCCTCAGTAGAAATGGAGAAGAGTGGACAGCCATGTCTTGTTTCTGCTTTTAGTGGGATTGCTTTGAGTTTTTCTCCATTTGATGTTGGCTATAGGCTTGCTGTAAATTGCTTTTATTATGTTAAGGTATGTTCCTTGTATCCTTATTCTTACCAAGACTTGTGTCATGAAAGGGTGTTGGATTTTGTCAAAGGCTTTTTCAGCATCTAATGAAATGATCATGTGGTTTTCTTTCTTTCAGTTTGTTTCTATAGTGGATTACATTGACAGATTTTCCTTTGTTGAACTATCCCTGCATTTCTGGAATGAAGCCTTGATCATGGTGGATGAACTTTTTGATGTGTTCTTGGATTCAGTTGGCCAGTATTTTATTGAGTAGTTTTGCATCAATGTTCATGAGGCATGTTGGTCTGTAATCTTCTTTGTTGAATCTTTGTGTAGTTTGGATATCAGGGTGACTGTGGTCTCAAAATGAATATGTCAATTTTCCTTCTGTTTCTGTTTCTGTTCTGTGGAGTAATTTGGGGAGTATTAGTATTAGCTCTGGTAAAGTCTGGTGGAGTTCTTTGCTAAAATTGTTTGACCCGGGCCTTTTTTTGCTTGGGAGACTTTTTTTTTTTAAATTAATTTTTATTTAAATTAAAAACAATCTTATTTTACATACCAATCCCAGTTCCCTCTCCCTCCCATCCTCTCATTCCCCCCACCAATCCCCATCCCATTCCCTCCCATGGGGTGTCATCAAAGTCTGTCACATCATTTGGCACAGGACCTAGGCCCTCCCCTGTATATCTAGGCTGAGAGAGTGAGTATCCTTCCATAGGGAATGGGCTCCCAAAGCCCATTTGTGCTCTAGGTATAAGTACTGGTTTCACTGCTGGAGACCCCAGTAGTAGTAGTAGATTGCCCAGGCCTCCTAACTGACACCCACGTCATGGGGCTCTGAGTCATGGGGCTGGTTCAATCTTATGCTGGTTCCCTAGCTTTCAGATTCCTTTTCCTCATGGGTTATAGGTCTATTTGAATTGTTTATCTGATCTTGATTTAATTTTGCTAAGTCCTATTTATCAAGAAAATTACCATTTCTTTGAGAATTTTCCAATTTTTTAGAGTATAGGTTGTTTTCCTTTTTCTTTCCTTTCCTTTCCCTTTTCCTTTTCCCTTCCCTTCCCTTCCCTTCCCTTCCCTTTCCTTTCCTTTCCTTCCCTTCCCTTCCCTTCCCTTCCCTTCCCTTCCCTTCCCTTTCCTTTCCTTTCCTTTCCTTTCCTTTCCTTTCCTTTCCTTTCCTTTCCTTTTCCTTTTCTTTTCTTTTCTTTCCCAGGTTTTGTTTGTGTAGCCCTGGCTGTCATCCTGTAACTCAGAGACCTGCCTGCCACTGCCTCCTTAATGCTGGGATTAAAAGCATAGGTTACCACTGTCTGTTGCAGTACAGGATTTTGAAGTAATACCTAATGATTTTTTAGATTTCCTAAGTGACTCTTGTTGTATCCCCCTTTCCCGTTGATGATTTTGCTAATTTGGATATTCTCTCTCCCTCTTTAAGTTAGTTGGGGTAACTCTGTATCGTTGGTACTTTGTATTGTTCTCTTTGTTTCTATCATTGATTTCAGCCCTTAGTTTATTTTCTGTAGTCTACTTCTCTTGGGTGTTCTTGCTTTTTTTGTTATTTCAGGTGTGATGTTAAGTTGCTAGTTAGCATGAGATCACTATAATTTCTTTTTGAAGGTACTTAGTGCTGTGAACCATCCTCTTAGTACTGCTTTCATTGTGTCTTTAAGTTTGGGTGTGTTGTGCATTCATTTTCATTGAATTCTAGGAAGTCTTTAATATCTTTATTTCTGCCTTGACCAGTAGTCTTTCAGTAGGAAGTTGTTCAATTTCCATAAGTTTTTAGGCTTTCTATTGTTTCTGTTGTTGAAATCCAGCTTCAATCCATGGTGTTCTGATAGGATGCAGGGGTTATCTCACTTTTATCTGTTGAGAACTGCTTTGTGACTGAACATGTGGTCAGTTTTTGAGAGAATTTTGTGAGGCGCTGAGAAGAAGGTGTATTCTTTTGTGTTTGGGTGAAGTGTTCTATAAATTTCTGTTTGGTTCATTTGATTTATAAGGTCTGATAGCTCCAGTATTTCTGTTTAGTTTTTGTCTGGGTGACCTGTCTGTTGGTGAGGATGGGATATTGAAGTCTCCCACTATCAGTGTGTGATTTTAAGATTTTGTAATGTTTCTTTTGCAAAGGTAGATGCCCTTGTGTTTCGTACGTAGATATTAGGAATTGATATATAATTTTGGTGGCTTTTT